TTCAACTCCCAGAATTCTGGGAGTTGAAGTCCACACATCTTCAAGTCACCAAGGTTGGGAAACACTGCTCCAGCAGTTGGGATCAGGAGGGTCCCCCCTGTACATCTGAGTATTCCAAGCAGATCCATAAGGAGAGAGGTGGTCAGTTAGATCCTTCCTGTGCTTTGGGGCCAATGTTTCTGCCAACGGCTTAGAAAGGGTTGATTTCTACGGTCCGGTTCCCCTGAAGGTTGTTAGGTTCACATAGGAAATCACACCATTCTCCATTCTATTAAGGCAACAGCAGAAGCAAGAATCAAGTTGGCCTAAAATAAAAGCGGAACTCCCGATTTGGCCTTCTAACTACGTAGATATTTTGCATTTTTAAATTAAAACAAGAGGGGGGAAAAAAGAAGAAGAAAATCTCCATAGAGTAGTTATAGCTGGGAGGCAGCCCTTAAATGGCATTTGTGGTCATTTGAAGAGTTCTGTTTATTTAAAAGCCAGTGGAAAAAGTAAAGTAAAAAGTAAAGACAGATGAGGTTGTTGGCTTTTCAAAGCTGGGTGTCTGGGGATATCTCAGCCTTCCCCAATCTGGCAGCCTTGGGACTACAGCTCCCAGAATTCCTGGGCAGCATGGGCAATTCTGGCAGTTACAGCCCCAAAGCATCTGAGGGCGCCACGTTGGGGAAGGTGGATATATGAATTAACTCCTCAGGAATAATCTCATTGGAGACACTGCATCTTTAAAGATCTTCCTATTGCATGTTGTCAGGTTTTGATGGTTTCTTTTCTCTTCTAGACTATGTTGTCTGTTTTACAGATTTTTCTCTTTGAACTTGGAGAGATTAAGGGTAATATTAATGGGGGTAAATGTTTTTTTTTAAAAAAAAAAACACAGTATGTTTTTTTTCCCTTCCCTTCCCCTTCTGCATTTCTCTTCGCATCTGTCACTTGCCGTTATTTCCACTTCTTGCTACCCGTTGGAACGCAAAAGTAAAAGGGAAATTTCTAAGGGAGACTGCTCATCGATAGTTTAATTTTTGCTTTTGGGCTTGAGCGGAGGTTTTGGGGTGTGGTGGAGGAGGGAAAGGGTTTAGGGAAAAAAGGCAGCGAGTATTTTGCCCTCTGAAGCAAAACAACCTAAAATTTTCCATGAGTTGCTCGCTATTTTCTTAGGCTGCTGTCAGCTTCCGGGACACACCTGCCATTCCCAAAAAGAAACCAAGATTTGCATGATATAATCTTTAGATCAGGGTTCCTCAACCTCAGCAGCTTTAATGTATTCCTGCTTCTCCTTTTGAATCATCTAAAGCAGGGTTCCTCAACCTCAGCAGCTTTAAGATGGGTGGACTTCAACTCCCAGGATTCCCCAGCCAGCATGGGGAATCCTGGGAGTTGAAGTCCACCCATCTTAAAGCTGCTGAGGTTGAGGAACCCTGCTTTAGATGATTCAAAAGGAGAAGCAGGAATACATTTGCCAGCCAGGAGCTCCCAAAGGTTACTTTAAAAAAGGCTTCGTTAGTGGGCAAAACCAAGGAGGCATCTAAGTAGCCAACCTAGGGTAAGATGGACAGCCTAGATTTAATAAATGAAATAGATTTTGCAAAGTGACATGGCTGCACAGCATTGAAGGGTCTTTGTCTCTTCCAACCTCCAAATCGTTCTCTCATTTTGTATGGAACAAAGCCCCCTTGCCCCACCACTGAGGGGTCTTTCTGTCCTTTCCAACTGGGGGCTGAATTTCAGAAGCAGCTTCACCCCGTCATAGGTTCCAAAGCGAAAAACTAGACATTGGGGAGCATTCCAGCTAGACCAGAAAAATGCTCCCTTATATGGTCGCTTTTTGTAATAAATAAATAAATAAAGCATCCAGTGTTAAGATGCTCAGAAAGAGTACGGTAATTCTGAGAGGAGTACCGAAGGGTGAAATTAACAAGTTATGCTAAACCAATCTTTCTCAACCTTCGGGAACTTTGAAAGGTGTGGACTTCAACTCCCAGAATCCCCTAGTCAGAGAGGTGGGGCCAAGGTGTGCTGTTAGTCTTTCTCCTTGTTTCCAGTGTGCTGGGGGGGGTGGTCCTTGATGTGTGTGTATGTGTCTGTGTGTGTAGTTCTTTTTTCATATATATGTATATTTATTTTTGCTTTTCAGGCTAAGACATCAAGCCCACAAAGAGCTTTACGCCTACAAACAGGTGAGCACGAACTCTCTTTTCAGTTGTCAAAGCAATTTACAGTAAATTCTCGTTATTCGCATAGTTATGTTCTTATAACAGTGTTTTTCAAGCTTAAGATGGGTGGACTTCAACTCCCAGAATTCCCCAGCCAGCATAGCTGGCTGGGGAATCCTGGGAGTTGAAGTCCACCCAT